ATAAAACGATCTTAATTCTCAAATATAAAACAGGATTTCACCTTCTTATCCCAGTAGTCACTGTTTCAAGATATACATAAATATCCACTATTTCAAGATATACATAAGACCTATTAAAAATATTCATACAGAGGAAAATTTCCAATAATTAGACTTTGTTTTATCTTCACTACTCAATTTTTCATTCTCCTCTTTTACAATTGTCCTTTTTAGAGGCTAATAAACAAAGAAGGCAAGTTTTCAGTGGAAACTGTGAAGAGAAATCGTAGTCTAGGTACCATTTATCAGATGCTTTTGAGAAATGCAGAGCAGGTCCCTGATGGCTTTCCTTCTGCATCTTCTACATGTGAATCAGTTGCTAGGAAACGTGCAAGACAGGGATTCAGTATTAGGTCTGAGGAACAATGAGCAAGCTTAACAGTTATCTGAATACTAACACACCATCTTCATAAACTGTTGTCTACCTTAGGAAGCTGAAGATTACAGGAGATGTTTTTCGAGAGACACAGATTTTAGGTCTTATCCTTTAACTACTATAAACAGATTCTGGTATTCACTGAAATAAGAAGTAACAGCTGTAGACACCTTGAAATCTTTTTCTTTTTTCCCCAGCCAGGAGTTGCACACAATCTGCTATCCAGACTGCAAGCTGTATTTTGATACTGCTGCACAATATATACATGGGCACATGTATGCATGCACATGTACAACAGAAAAGAAAAACAAACCCACACGTATCACCACTACCAAATAAAACAGTTGTTGAATAATTACTAGAAAAGCAAAGGAAGGGACTAGAAACAACATAAGGGTGTGAACATGCGCATGAGCGCGCTCTCTCTCTCAGGGCTCAGTCCACCTGGGTTTAAGAAAGGGAAAAAGAATTCTACGTGGAAGTTTCAAAAATATGGGATCCATGAACTTACTGTGCTAATCTCAACAGGTTTTTGGGAGAATGGAATGAGATATGCATGTACAAGCATTTTTAAATTGTATATAGCAGCATACATATAAAGATGGAAAATAGGCCATTCCAGTGAACAGGCATACGAATGGGACTCAGTTTTGAAAATCAAAAGTAAGGCAACTAAAAATCATTAATGGGTGAAGCATTTTCATTTTTTTCCAAAAAACTTCACATATAAGTTAGACTGTTTCATTAATATTAACATTAAAGCAGTAAGTTGGTGTGAACTGTTAATATGGAAAAGCAATGATTAAAAGAAACAAAAACCACAAGAATTTACCTTGTGCATGTCCCTTAAAAAGATGTGAAGTTGTTGCATTAATTCCTCCAGAACTTTAAAGTAGAAAAATATATAAAACTAGGAAAGATGTAAGAATGAGTTTTAAAATGGACTATTTCAAATATTGTCTCTGTCTATCCCATGCTAGAAGTAGCTCTGCCATCACTTCTACCTTCAAAAAAATAAACTTACAAACTGTAAAATCTGTGAACCACTACCAAATTCAAATTGTAACTGAATCACAGGCAGGTTACGAGGTCTTTTTAAGGAGTTTCTTACAATCCCAGTGGCTGACATATTCTGGGAGTGTCAAACCCCCAGAATCTGGGAGACTCCATGTATTAGTTGGCTAAGGCTACCACACCATAATCCCACAGATTGGGTGGCCTATACAACAGAAATTAATTTTCTTACAGCTCTGGAGGCCAGAAGTCCAAGGTCAAGTTGTCAGCAGGTCTGGCCTCTCTCGAGGCCTCGCTCCTTGGCTTGTAGATGGCCATCTTCCTGCTGTGTCCTCCCATGGTCTTTCCTCTGCAGAGCATTCCTTGCAGTCTCTTCCTCTTCTCGTAAGGACAGCCGTCATAGGGGCGCCACCCATATGACTTCATTTAATTTTAATCACCTCTGTAAAGGCCCTATCTCCAAATAATATCCCATTCTAACGTACAAGGAGTTAGGAGTTTAACATAAGAATCCTGGAGGGACACGATCTAGTCCATAAGCAATCCATTTCTACTGATCTCAGCGCAAGACTAAGCACCACGAAATGCTGAACGAGAGACCAGCTCCACACACAGGCTGCAAGACACTCCTCACTCCAGGTCCTTATCAGGAGAGGAAACAGTAAGGGAGGGCGCGGATGTTCACGAGAAATTATGTTAACACACATAAATATCAACTGGGCTGAGGAAACAGAAGTCTTTTGGACTCACAAACTAAAAGGACAAACACTGACATGTCCTGCTGTTTTCAAAAAGTTTCTCATCTCTGCTAAGTTTGGCATTTACTCAAGCAGGGCCTTCACCTAAACGGAAGTGCCCTGCTAAAATTCAAACTAGCAGCAAATATTTGGGATGGGACACAAATAACAAATAACAAAGTTGTGTGATGACTTTGCAAATTATCTTTCAAGAGGAGTTACAAAAAAAAAAAATCACTAAAAATAGTTCTTGAATATTTCTAAAACTGACTGGAAATAAAGAGGCAAGTGAATTGAGCATACTTTCACTCTTAGCCTGTGCTGTAATCGCATCTTTAAAACTAACATCAGAGACACTGCCTTATACAAAAAGTAATATTCTTAGGTTTCTCAATTTTTTACCATCTTCCCAATATTTTCTCATTTCTCCCTCAGAATCATTCCGTGAGGAAGCAAAGGCAGAGAAAGATGAGGAAAATGAAACCGAGTGAAGTTAAATGACATGCTCAAGGTCACAAACTGATTACCAAGGGAATAATACTGAGAATGCAGGTCTTCTGACTTCTCAGTCAGCACTCTTTATTTTTGGGACTTAATGGCACTCAGGTCACTGAAACTACAGTCTTGCATAATTCACTTTATTTAGCACTGGGATGTAAAAGGCTGTAAATAAAATTTTATTTGCTGAAATTCGACACATGATCACAAAATGAATTTAACCTCAAATAAACATAATTCTGACCACTCTACAATAAATGTAACATCTGTAAGACATCAATCACCTTAAATTTTAGCAATAGCATTTTTGTTGAGAATTTATTTCACTAAGCCAAATAGGTAAATATAATAAAAATTCAAAATAAAAAAAGAAATTCCCACAATTAGTAATATGAGGCAAAATTTAACCTAGTAACTAGATGAATTCATTAACCAGATGATTTTATTAATCTACCACACATTTCTACTAGGCTATAATATTTCTTCAGCTAACTGAAATCAAGGGGAATAACTGAACCTTTGAACAACTGGACTATTTAACTGAGCAGGTTAGAGAAACCAAGATTACATAGCCTGAAGGGAAAACCAACTATATGAGTATCAGCTACAATAAAACTTGTTTAATTAAGCCCTTAACAGGTGCCAGACTAAGTGCTTTTCGCAGATTGTTTTGCTCAGTCCTCACAACTATTCTATGGTGGGTGCTATTTCATACCCATTTTACAAATAAAGAGATGACACCTTGGTTAAATAATGTATCCAATAATCCATACTGAAAATGTGGCTAAACCACAATTCATACCCAGCTATGATTAACTCCAAAGCCTGTACTGTTTTTCACTCTAAAGCCTTGATCCTGAACACAAAGAATAATGACACAATGCCTATCACTACTAAAAACAAAGAAATGGACGTATAGAGCATACACACACACACAAATCCATAAAATTTCTAAATAGTGTGTACTAATAAATATAAACTCAATATTATGGAATTTCCTCTAAAACTCTTTAAAAAAACAAATTATTTTTCATTCATTCATTCATAAAACAAAATTGTTGAATACAGGCTATGAACCAGACACTCTAGGTTCTTAACCCTGTGGAGGTCATGGCTGATCTGAGACATACAAGCTCTTTTCTTAAATATTGTTACATATATCAGATATATATGTTCAAGGTCATGACTAGCTTGAATGTTATGGCTTAACATTAGTCATATACAAACACATATGCACACAATATATGTACCAAAATTTAAGAAAAGAGTTTATTTGTATCTCTCAGATCAACTGCTACCTCCACCGGGTTAAGAATCTATGAATAATATGGCATGATCCTTGCCCTTGACAGGTCCAGAATCTACCAAGGAAGATAAACATATAGAAGAGATTTTAAAAGGCATTAATGTGGGCAAGGGCATAGACTAACGTTACAAAAATGCCTTATGAAGGGGCTTCATAAAGCTGTTTTTCACTTTCCTTGCAAGCCAATGACATACGCTAGCTGCAAAAAGGCAAATCTCTGGTTGGCCTAAGTGATATGGACCAAATACATAACTTTCTCATAGTCAGGATTTATTCAAGGGGAGATTTTATACTACTTAATATTATTTAGGTAAAGGTAAAGATTATTTAGGAAGGTAAATTATATGGTATGTAAATTTTACCTTGATAAAAAATTTTTAGACAAGGATGAATGAAGTTTGTATTTTTCAGAATTTTAATAAACATATTTTTTGAGACTGACCTTTAGGCATAACAGGAAAGAGAAATGTGAAGTTATATTACTTTAAGGAATGTGTTCATGAGCCAACCTACTACATCACAGTGTGTCCTCCATATGGACCAATAGATCAAATCAGATCTCATATTTCAACACCAGAAAAAGCTGTACTTCTTCCAAATAACTGATACACTTTTTAATCAAATGAGCACCATATATATAATAAATGATCATGTTGACCCCCTTTTCTCTGGCTATTAGCATTTTTTATACAGTGACATTTTAATTTATTTATGTCAACTTTATTATACATGTACACACAAGAATTTAAAGAAGATTTTAGAAATACATAAACCAAATACCACAAAAAAAATAAGTGATGAAACATCAGTTAGAGACCCTGTTCTTGCTTACGTCCTGTGACTAAGTTATTCAGTAGGTTAGCAAAACATGTAGAAGAAACATGAAATTGCTAAGAGCTTACAAAAGAATTACAAGGTTGTAGATAAGGTCATAATCAAATATTATGTTAGTGACCTTCCAATTATGCCAACACAAAGGACATTACTGTCCTGTTACACACATCATTCACAGAGATTAAACTGTATGTTCTTCCAAGGTAATCCCATCTCAAGAGGGCCAACTAGTGCCCTCCAACCCCCAACCCCCAACCCCCAGAAACATAGCAACATGGAATAAAATCTGGCATGCCCAAGGTCTATGAGAGTAAGGGGATCTTTCCTTTTGACCTTTGACTGCCTATATAGATTCCTACATCCTCCTATCTCCCCATCCACCTGTTGAAGTTACAGCTTTTCTTGTTGTGGTCCAGAGGCGCTGATGTGCAGCAGGTTGCTTAGCCAGTAACCATGACTTTCCCACCAACAGGAAAACTGTATCCAGACTCAGTCATGGTGGACATTTTGGTCATAAAGGTGTGGCTATCAACAAAGCGACATAGACAAGAGGGCTTTTGGTATAAGGAGACCTTCTATGACACATTCATTGAGACATGTCCCTCTATGTTGCTGACCTTATCTGAGAGGTTTGTCAGGCCCAGCCATGTCCTTATCCTGGGACTGAGGAAGAAAAGGAGCAAGTGGGGAAGGTGTCAAGGGACAGACAGCTTTGTCATACTTCTCTCCTTTTAACACATGAATAAATTAATATAAAATTTTTGAGGCCAGAAAATAAAAATAATTTTTAAATGTTATATGGATCACTGACCTAACTCAAAAGAATGTTTCTATGACCATAATTCATTAAGATGCTCTTTTTAAGGTAAAATTTTATCATTACATTGTGCTTAACAAGTACTGAGTATAGAAATATAACGTGTATAACTGTTAATGATGCTCAATATTTTGCATTTTTATATCTATTTTGAGGCTCTACTATAGATTCATGTTTTCATATAGGATTTAAATTCAGTAAGTACTGCAATATACAGATAGAAATAAAATATTTCTAAGGTTTATTTATTGTGTCACCTGAATGCTCAGTTTTTCAATAAACTATACTTTAAAACAAAAAGCAAAGCAAAACATACATAAAAGTTGTAGTTTTACTAGATAATTAAAAGTGCCTACTTTGAAATCACCTTGTTCACATCTATTCATTTACCTACCTTCAGTCCGTGCTATTTCATCAAAAGAAGATATTTTCATGAAAAACCCTATCCTGAACAATTTAAAAATCGAAACATCTTCAACTTGAAACAACGTATGGAATAACTGCCATTTTTTACTTTACTCAATTTTACTAACCAATACTCATAAATATCCATTTCATACTAAATAAATCACAAGTGGGGTAAGTCTCCACTATTAAACTTATTTTCAGTTGCAGTACTTGAATTAACTGTTGACTTCAAATAAGCAGTTGAGATTTTTATTTATGTACCCCGTCTTACAAATCATGATGGTTCTTAACATGAAGTGGCACCATCAAAAGTAAACATGTGTTAACAATTTTAAGAAAAAAATTTCTGGAGCTTTCTGGAGTAACAAACTGCAAATCAAAGGAAGTTTGAATTTTTTCATTCCTTGTAGTGTAATCATTATAGTTTCTTTCTGTTATTCGTACCTCCCTTTACTCAAAAAAGAAAAAGTCATTAAACATTTAACATGTTTGTGATGTGCAAATTAAATTCTTCCTCATTCTACCACTTTATACGAGAGTCATATTTATTTGGAAATTGGGTAGATGGGGCATTATATTTTAAAAACAAGTCTAACATTTTTTTAAATTGGTGATTCTATCTAAGAGGCAATTCTAAGATTCTATTAAAATGCTATCTAATTATTTACCAATAGTAATCCATAGCAACATAAAATGAGACAGTACTAATGAATTATAATTCCCAGGACACTGTTCTAGACTATTCTGATAATAAAAACACAATTAACTATACCTAAAAATCATCTCAGAAGATTGCACTTTACAATGAACAATTTCAGGTTATCATAATGCAAATCACCACTATACCATCAGATGAAAAGACTTTCTGTAAGGTGGATACTGGGGTTAGATATGTTTTGCATGGCTCATAGTACAATGATTCTGAAACTGTTCTTCAAAGATGGCCACCTGACTTATTACAAGTCCGTATTAATTCATTAATTCTGCAACTTCTCATATCAGTATTTGTCTAATTCCTGTTCACTGAAGGCTGCAGTCACCAAGGGTAAAATAAGAAGTACCTTGAAAAAAAATGAATGTTTTCCAAAATTGGATGCTTCAACATAAACTGAATCAACTAGAATTGCGGTGATACACTGTGAACATTTATAAACCTACATAACGATTTGACATAAGGAAAAACATCATTTCTCTATATTAGAATTCAGCAGAGCCAAATATATACTACATGAGATTCCAATCTGCAGCGTAAAGTATGATTACTCATAACACAAACTATGAGGCAATAATTTAGATCTGCGATTCGCAGGTGAGAGAGGGATGCTCACTTAATGGGCACATCAGTCACAGGCTCACTGCCCTGCCCTGTTCTCCACCTTTGTCTTCTCTGCTAGTGAAGAATGACAGAATCATAATGGAAATGGGACACGGAGAATGTCTGAAAACCACAGACCCAGAGTGGAAATTTATATATAGTTCATTAAATGTGTGTGTGTGTGTGTGTGTGTGTGTGTGAGAGAATTAAAACAGTTACATAATCAAGAATAAACCTGATTTTTTAAAAAGCAATACCTATGAAGGGAGCTTATGAATTATGCTAGCCTTAACTTCCACTTCAAACAGAATCATGTATGAATTACTCTATTTAACAACTAGGATCTTAGATAAATTTCAATTTATCTAAGTATACGATTTTTAATGCAATGCTAGATTCCTAATCAAGTAATGGGTATCTCCAAGGATCAAGAAAAAGGAGAGATGAGAATAGTTAACCACGTAATGAATGGGAGCTGATAGCAAGAACCAAATTTCAAAATTAGAGCAATCCTATAGGGAAACACCGATAAGAATCCTTAAGTCTAGGATTGGCACGGTGCCTTGGGCATGCTGCACAGTGGAGTAGCTGATTCTGAGACACCTACTAAGTTGGATTATTGAAGGGTCTACAAACATCCCAAATCCCTAATATGCCTTAACTTCCAACATAAAACATCAAATCCTCTTCAAAAACAAGACACTCTCAATAAGTACTGATTTTTAAAGAAATGCATTAAATCTATAATTTACTGAGCACTTACAAAGAAATTTCTCTCAGTATCTCATGTAATACCACACAACAAAAACAAAAATATTCCCATTTTATAGAGAGGAAACTGAAACACAGAAAATTTATGTAACTTATCCAAAGACACAAAGCTAATAATTATTGGAGGTAAGATTAATGCCTAGGCAGCTCAATTCCAAAGCAATATCCTTATCTACAACCTTATTTTGCTGCAGTATTTGTGCAAACAATAATTGTAATAAACATTTTTATCTGATTACTGTGTGCCTAACATTGTTGCAAGCCATTTAATTCTCACACCAACCCAATGAAGTTTACAGATGAGAAAACAGCCAATCCCACAGTTCACCTATCTATAAAGTCAGCTTCTCAAATAAGATAAAGCTAATCATTGACTCAAATGTCTACTTTCTTCTTTTAACAGAGCAGACACGAATTTGAAGCGTGTCAAACATGTCTAGACCTAAGTCACACCCAAATTTTGAGAAGTCTTAGAATCAGTCCAGCTTCCAAAAGATGAATTAGGCAAATGGTGAAAAACCTAGACCTTCCAAAGGCATTCAATACCCAAGTTGAGCTGCAAGGTACGTTTGGTAATTCTCTATTATATGTCAATCTCCAAGCTTGCTCCTTTACAAACTACATCTCATTTAACCTTCACAAGAACTCATAATTGAAGAGCTTCTTGCTGAAAAGAGTATCTGTCACTTTTAACACATCTACTTTCCAGCTACTCTTTCTCTGTTTATTGTCAATATAAAGAAGATTATTTACTAATGGATAAAGTAACTAATATCTACCTAGGAGCACCCACAAAGGCATAAATGTAAGATTTTTTAAAATATACTTTATAGGATGCATAGCCACTACTCTAAAATATGTGCAGTTGATATAGTTTGATTCTAAATTATCTTCTCTCAAAAGAAATTTTATATAGCTAATTGTATTAAACAACAGACTGAGTGTGAAAAAGCTAATATGCATTTTAATATAGAAACCCTCTCTACCCAAATCAATCTTGCTTATTATAGAACTAATCTGTAGTTACACAAAAAGAAATTTATTAGTGGCAATTTTATAGCTGAATAACAAGATTTTATCTTCTTTTCTCCTCCACTTTTTTCCACAAAGTGTCAACTTTTTCTACCTCACACCCATCAGAATGGCTTACAGCAAATACCAAGTATTGGTGAGGATGTGGAGAATTTGGAACCCTGCATATTGTTGGTGGCAATGGAAAATGGTTTACCCACTATGGAAAACCGCATGGAAATTCATCAAAACATTAAACAGAATTATCACATGACCCAGATGAGCCAGATCTAATTAGCAAACAGACACACGTCTGTTCATTTACTTTCTTTTTCACTAAACTTGACCAGTATGAGAATTTTTTGAACTACCGAACCACTCTGACCGCACTCTGTGGCTGGGCAGTAGTTGGCGTGCAGGTGCACAGGCTCGTGCGGGGAGCAGAGGGCAGCCATTCGTTCATTTTGCTGTTAGAAACAGAATGGATGGAATGGCTAATTGTCTAAAAAGTATTTTTTTTTCAAATTTCCAGAATAAGTATATATCACTTTCAAAATACGAAAATTGTAAACACAGGACCTTTTCTCGAGTAGAGAGTGAATAAATAATTCAGAAATCAATGAAATTAAAAGTATGTATGTCCTAGAAGCTCTGTAAGTTCTTTAAACTGTTTGGGAAAAAAATAGAGAAGCATACAAAATTAACCGTGATTGCCCACCACAAAACTCTCTTATCTACAATTATGCCTGAAAGCAACTAAAAATTATTTTTAAGATCATTAAAATTAATCACACTGCTAGAAACTAGACTCACATGATCTTTAAATGACAGTGAAAAAGAATAGCCTTATATAGCATGTTGAAGGCTGTATATGGTTCTAATAAGATCAGCTTGTTTTGAATTTTTAGCTACACTACTTCCTAACAGGATGACCTCTGGGAAAGTTACTTAGCTTCTCTATCAATTTTTACAACTGTGAAGTGAGAACAATAGTGTCAAGTTCTTAGGCTCACTGTAAGAATTAAAGGA